TCACTGGACGGCGGCTGGCAGCCTATCATGAGCCTTCTGGGGATGGGGGTGTGGCATGCAAAGAGTACTCTGGTTACCGTTATGTCGAGGTGCATGTACACACCCTCGATTTACAGGCTATCTCCCCCAACCAGCGTTCTCGTGCAGGTTGCTAAGAGTTGATGATGGGCCCCGTCGTTAACTAGTGAACAGGTTCTAGCCTATTAAGAAGATGGTTTTAGCAATCGCAGAGTCATGAAGTTCTGTGGTACAGCTATTCCTGTCTCTGCCCTTGTCATTCCCATTCTAGAGCTGGTTGAAGCACGGTCTGCTATTTCTGTGGCTTCTATTTCTGCCTTGCTTACCGTGGAGTGCACTATACTTATCACTGTACATAGTGTACATATTGCTGTTCTAAATTGGTGATGGTTATTAAGTCTAAAACTTTTTCGGCTGTGTTTATTTTCTCCCTTTCCCTACGCGATAAACAGTGACCATTTGGAATCCTGGGTTGTAATACGTATAAAGATACACAACATATCCCTCCAAACTGCTAATATCCCAAAACCCCTCCTTTAGTGTGCAGGCATTGTACTTCCCATTTCCAGGACTCAAGTCTGGCTAAATAAAAATAACCGGTTTCCCTGAATCCCTTCACTAAATATTACCCTGCTCACACTCCAACAGATCGTCAAGTCCCAAATACCATTCGTCTCCATTTACTCCTATCGAACACGCTCATGCACGCCTGCTGGAAGTCTATACTCTATACCATCTATACTCTATAATAATGCATGCCACATTATGATTACTATGCTTATGGAAACCAGTAAATCACGTTGTATTATTCAATGGTACAGATGAGAGGTAAAGGACATTGTCAAAGAAGAATGGGGGTCATAGCTGATGTAGTAAACTGATTTTTTTTTTTTCCCCAACAAGTCGGCCATCTCCCACCGAGGCAGGGTGACCCAAAAAAGAAAGAAAATCCCCAAAAAGAAAATAATTTCATCATCATTCAACACTTTCAACACACTCACACATTATCACTGTTTTTGCAGAGGTGCTCAGAATACAACAGTTTAGAAACATATACATATAAAGATACACAACATATCCCTCCAAATTGCCAATATCCCAAACCCCTCCTTTAAAGTGCAGGCATTGTACTTCCCATTTCCAGGACTCAAGTCCAACTATATGAAAATAACCAGTTTCCCTGAATCCCTCCACTAAATATTACCCTGCTCACACTCCAACAGATCTTTCAGGTCCCAAGTACCTTTCCCGTCTCCATTCACTCCTATCTAACACGCTCACGCACGCTTGCGGGAATCCATTCCCTCCCCACAAAACCTCCTTTACCCCCTCTCTCCAACCCTTTCGAGGACGACCCCTACCCCGCCTTCCTTCCCCTATAGATTTATATGCTTTCCATGCCCATTCTAACTTTGATCCATTCTCTCTAAATGACCAAACCACCTCAAAACCCTCTTCTGCCCTCTGCTAATACTTTTTTTAAACTCCACACCTTTTCCTAATTTCCACACTCCCGAATTTTCTGCATAATATTACACACACACATTGCCCTTAAACAGGACATCTCCACTGCCTCCAACCGTCTCCCTCGCTGCTGCATTTACCACCCAAGCTTCACACCCATATAAGAGTGTTGGTACTACTATACTTTCATACATTTTCCCCTTTTTTGCCTCCATAGATAACTTTTTTTTTACTCCACATATACCTCAACGCACCACTCACCTTTTTTCCCTCATCAATTCTATGATTAACCTCATCCTTCATAAATCCATCCGCCGACACGTCAACTCCCAAGTATCTGAAAACATTCACTTTCTTCCATACTCCTCCTCCCCATTTGATATCCAATTTTTCTTTATCTAAATCATTTGATACCCTCATCACCTTACTCTTTTCTTATGTTCACTTTCAACTTTCTACCTTTACACACATTCCCAAACTCACCACTAACCTTTGCAATTTTTCTTTAGAATCTCCCATAAGCACAGTATCATTTAGCAAAAGTAACTGTGTCAATTCCCATTTTGAATTTGATTCCCCAAAATTTAATCCCACCCCTCTCCCGAACACCCTAGCATTTACTCCTTTACAACCCCATCTATAAATATATTAAACAACCATGGGACATTATACATCCCTGTTTAAGACCTACTTTTAAATGGAAGTAAATCTCCCTCTCTTCTACACACCCTAACCTGAGCCTCACTATCCTCATAAAAACCTCTTACAGCATTTTTGTAACTTACCACCTATTCCAATACTTGCAACATCTGCCACATTGCTCCTCTATCCACTCTATCATATGCTTTTTCTAATCCATAAATGCAATAGAAACTTCCCTACCTTTATCTAAATACTGTTCACAAAATATGCTTCATTAAACACTTGATATACACATCCCCTACCCACTCTGAAACCTCCTTGCTCATCCGCAATCCTACATTCTGTCTTACCTCTAATTCTTTCAGTTATAACCCTGCCGTACACTTTTCCTGGTATACTCAGTAAACTTATTCCTCTATAATTTTTACAATCTCCTCTGTCCCCTTTCCCTTTATATAAAGGGACTATACATGTGCTCTGCCAATCCCTAGGTACCTTCCCCTTTTTCATACATTTATTAAACAAAAGTACCAACCACTCCAACACTATATCCCCCCCTGCTTTTAACATTTCTGTCATGATCCCATCAGTTCCAGCTGCTTTACCCCCTTTCATTCTATGCAATGCCTCACGTACCTCCCCCACACTTACATACTGCTCTTCTTCACTCCTAAAAGATGGTATACCTCCCTGGCCAGTGCATGAAATTACCGCCTCTCTTTCTTCCTTAACATTTAAAAGTTCCTCAAAATATTCTCGCAATCTACCTAATACCTCCATCTCCCCATCTACTAACTCCCCTGCTCTGTTTTTAACTGACAAATCCATACTTTCCCTAGACTTTCTTAACTTGTTTAACTCACTCCAAAATTTTTTCTTATTTTCATTAAAATTTCTTGACAGTGCCTCTCCCACTCTATCATCTGCTCTCCTTTTGCACTCTCTCACCACTCTCTTCACCTTTCTTTTACTCTCCATATACTCTTCTCTTCTTATAACACTTCTGCTTTGTAAAAACCTCTCATAAGCTACCTTTTTCTCTTTTATCACACCCTTTACTTCATCATTCCACCAATCACTTCTCTTTCCTCCTGCCCCCCACCCTCCTATAACCACAAACTTCTGCCCCACATTCTGATACTGCATTTTTAAAACTATTCCAACCCACTTCAACCCCCCTACTACTCATCTTTGCACTAGCCAACCTTTCTGCCAATAGTCGCTTATATCTCACCCGAACTTCCTCCTCCCTTAGTTTATACACTTTCAACCTCCCTCTTACTTGTTGTTGCCACCTTCCTCTTTTCCCCATCTACCTCTTACTCTAACTGTTGCTACAACTAAATAATGATCCGATATATCAGTTGCCCCTCTATAAACATGTACATCCTGGAGCCTACCCATCAACCTTTTATCCACCAATACATAATCTAATAAACTACTTTCATTACGTGCTACATCATACCTTGTATATTTATTTATCCTCTTTTTCATAAAATATGTATTACTTATTACCAAATCTCTTTCTACACATAGCTCAATTAAAGGCTCCCCATTTACATTTACCCCTGGCACCCCAAATTTACCTACTACTTCCTCTATAACATTTTTACCCACTTTAGCATTGAAATCCCCAATCACCATTACTCTCACACTTGATTCAAAACTCCCCACGCATTCACTCAACATTTCCCAAAATCTGTCTCTCTCTCTACACTTCTCTCTTCTCCAGGTTCATACACGCTTATTATAACCCACTTTTCACACCCAATCTTTATTTTACTCCACATAATCCTTGAATTAATACATTTATAGTTCCTCTTTTCCTGCCATAGCTTATCCTTCAACATTATTGCTACTCCTTCTTTAGCTCTAACTCTATTTGAAACCCCTGACCTAATCCCATTTATTCCTCTCCAGGACATCCAGCTTCTTCTCATTCATAACATCCACAATCATCTCTTTCTTATCATTTGCAAAACATCCACGCACATTCAGACTTCCCACTTTGACAATTTTCTTCTTATTCTTTTTAGTAATCTTTACAGGAAAAGGGGTTACTAGCCCATTGTTCCCGGCATTTTAGTTGACTTTTACAACATGCATGGCTTACGGAGGAAAGATTCTTATTCCACTTCCCAATGGATATAAAAGGAAAAGTAATAAGACAAGAACTATTAAGTTAAAATCAAAGAAAGCTCAGATGAGTGTGTATAAATAAACGTGTACATGTATGTGTAGTGTGACTTAAGTGTAAGTAGAAGTAGCAAGACAAGACATACCTGTAATCTTGCATATTTATGAGACAGACAAAAGACACCAGCAATCCTACCATCATGTAAAACAATTACAGGCTTTCGTTTTACACTCACTTGGCAGGACGGTAGTACCTCCCTGGGTGGTTGCTGTCTAAGAAATCAGAGTGCAGGTTTGCATTACAGGAGGAGGGGCAGACAAAATAAGCACACAATGGGGCTAAAGAAGGTGACTGAAATTGAGTTAATGTGCTCACTGATCAATGGGACAATCATTCATGAAATGCTGGACTGTCAAAACAGCCTGCTTCTAACTGCTGATGCATGCAGCCCAACTATGTTTTTCAACACCTCAGAGAAGCAATCTGAAAGAACCCCTGATGAGGTGACCCTACGAAAGAAACTGCTGGTGGACCAGGTTCTTACTGTTCAAGAACAAAGTATACAAGGAAAAGAGGAACCCAAATTAATGTCATAAAGAATCAATATAAGAAGCGTCTTAAAAAATAGAAAAGAAGATAGTGCCCAAAAAAGCTCCATTAAAATTACAATACTTATATTGACAGGTCTTTATTAACAGATCTGGCAATAACAAACTATGAAGACAATAGTTTACTATACCTCTGTTCAACTTCTGCTTTGTGCTCAGCAATGGCTTCAAGTATTCTGTCTTTGAGTTGTGGGATAACATCTGTGCACTCAGGAAGATCACCAGAGGCAGGATCAACAAACATCATTTGTGAATGGCTCTGGTATGTTTCTCCATCGCTGACCCCTCGACATGTGTTGTACTCATCAATCACTATCTAAGAGAGAAATGTTAAAAAGATATTTTATCGATTTATAATTAGATCTTAATGATGTTAAGCCACTCAAGACTTGACAATGTTACAGAACAAACTGAAACATCGTCTCAAGTTTGTTCACACATCCAGACACACAAACATAGATTAAAACCCACTTCCGTTCATGATATCAAAGCACTTTCAAATAACCTAGTTTTAGGGAAGGAATCCACCATCTTTCCTTATATACCAGAGAGGAAAATTAAAGGTTTGAGAAACTGCTTCAAGAAATACTGGAATGTCAAGATAATGTGTCAAATGAATGTAAATATGAATTATAAGGATTGCCTGATATCTTAATGTTCAGGAAAAATGAAAGAAAAAACTGACAATCCTGTTAGTGTTCAACATGCTTACCAGCTCTCGGTTTTCTCACTCATATAACAGGATTACCTTGTCTTGGTAGAGCAAAGAACAAAAAGGCACAATACCATTACTGGAACATTACACAAATAACCCACACATAGGAGAGAGAAGCTTATGACGAAGTATCGGTCCGACTTGGACCATTTCAAAGTCACACTGTGTTATTTATGTATTGTTTTGGTAGGTTACAGTGAGCCTCAAACTTATCTCTATTTTATCATAATAGCAATGGTGAACAATACTGACAAGTTGATGAATAATACAAATCTGTAACACCTCTGTATCTTTACTGCTGAAACATTTCGCTTGTGCAACAGGCTTTTTTGGTTGAGGAAGGTTCTTGAATGCAACAGATGAACACTGCTTCCCATGCTGACATGTATTCAACTGAAGAAGCTACGTATTTGTGGAGGCAAAACATTTCAGTAATAAAGGGATCCAAGTCTTGCAAATAGCTATTTTTTTCATTTAATGAACTTTAAAATAC